TGATGATACATCTACTTATGATATGGGAAGAGAGAGATGAAATAGCTGATGAAGGGGGCACAATTACTCAAGCCCATTTATACAAGGACCTAGCTAGTCAAAGAAAAGGCCAACTAAAAAGTGGGCCGAACTAGAGGTTTGGCCCGAGCACCCATCCCCATTACGAAGTCGGTTGAGCTAGGGGTTTAGCCCTAGCACCTATCCCTACTACAAAATGGCTGACCTAGGGGGTTTGACCCTAGCATCCATCCCCACTATGAAGTGAGCCAAGCTAGGAGTTTGCACCTTGCACCCATCCCCACTACGAAATGGGCCGAGCTAGGGGATTGGCCCTAGCACCTTTCCTCACTCCAAAGTGGGCATCACCATGGCACCAGGCCTAGCCCCTTTCTCCACTACGAAATGGGCCGAGATAGGGTTTGACCGTAGTACCCATCCCTACTCTGAAATAGGCACCATTATAGGGCTAGCCCTAGTCCCCTTTCCCACTATGAAATGAGTCAAGCTATAGGTTTGGCCCTAGCACCCTTCTCCACACCAAAGTGGATGCCATTGTGGGCCTAGCCCTAGCCCTTTTTCCTACTCCGATGTGGGCAAGTCCATGACTGTGATTCCAAGACTTCTACTCACTCTGAAGTGAGTTGAGCTCTAACAAATCAACAAATGCCATGTGCGTGAACGACACATGGCACCTGCGAACGAAACCACTTACTCAGGTGTCTAATAGAGTCTCTGCTATCCTTCAATGATGAGTGACCTAGCTAAATGACAAAGAGTGTCAGGTAACAATGGAAGTGTTTGGTGAGCAAGTAAGGTCTTCCCTATAAAAAGTAACATCATTCTTATTTACAAGGAGGGATCTGAATTCAATTACACTCTTTATACACTCGTCTTCTCTACCAGACACTCGTACTGACTTGATCATCAGAGGGGTTTCCAACCAAATCCCATTCGGCAGCCTAATCATTTGTTTCTTGTGTAGGCCTTCACCCATCAGTTCACCAAGGTTCGTACACAAAGTTCCTTCGTACTCTTCATTTTGAAATTTGTTCGGCATATTTAGCGTTGTTTGTAGAAAAAAACCACTGATCGTTTTGTGACAAACTCTGGCATTGGGAATTAAAGGTACCTCACAACTTACAATTAGAGAGATGACTCTGAAAACAAAGCTGACCAAGTATAAGGGTACGGCCTTCCCTACAAGGATGATGACCCGATGAACCATGACAATGTGGCCCTTGACACAGTGAAGCGACGTCGTGTCGTTGCCGTTAAGCTGTCTTAGTGTCTGTTTGCTAAGAAGGGCCACCGTGACCACATCATTGACTCCATGGGCATAGAGATCATGGAGTTCCATGCTCAACTAAGGAAGTAGAAGGTACCTCTAGCAGAGCTAAGGAACTAGTGGAGCCAAGCAAGTCTAGAGAAGAACCATCACACCAAAAGAGGCACATTCCTTCTCTGTCGTCACCTAGAGAGCGATCTAGGCGTAGCCTTAGACTCGGAAGAGTTACTGGCCGATTTCAATGCACAATGAAGGGGCCAATAGTTGGACATATAACCTTCAGACAAATCCCGTCCTAGAAGACCCTCACAAGAAGGAAAAGACTATCCGCTACAACATTAGAGCTTGTCTCCCTCCTGACAGCATCATAACGAGGGACCGCATGACTTGAGAACTTGGTTGAACGACAATAAAAAGTAGGATCAACGGTCGAATAGAGAGAGGCAAAATGATGGTTGGAATGGAAAAGGGAGGATCACGATCGGTTCACACAGAGATCACGAGTGCTCTAGACTGATTGGTCTCTTTTCTTCTCTGCCTAGAGATCGAGACAATGGAAGCTCTCTGGAAGTATAGTCTGTCGAACTTCATTCTTTACGATAGGAAGACGGACCCCCTAACTCATATCAGACACTACCACCAAGTGATGTCTCTCTAGAATCGAAAACCCTTCTAAAAGCAGAGGAAGTCAATAGTAGAGAAGCGCTGCTTATGACGGCGGAGCGGGCCAATGTACGGCGTAGCACTGTCACATTATTGCTTGTGAAACGTTCCTCCTCCTTATTCTAGAGAAGAACTCTATGACAAAAGAAACAAAGTCTTAAAAGGGCGAATCTGTATCGACAAAAAGTAAACTGATGTCGAAAAATAAAGTTAGGATACGATAGAGCACCCCCACATCATTGGTGGTGGTGTGTTGTTCCTACTCATTCTAGAGGACTTTGTAATGTAGAAGACAAAGTGCAAAATAGCAGATTTGTTGAAAGACCAATCTATATCAACAGTGACTAGATCTACATCGATGAGGACGAAAAAACTTCAGATACAGTAGAGCTCCACTGAGTCACCACCGCCAAGCGACCCATTTCTTTCTAAGGAGGGAACACGAGAACTACATCATTGATTCAATGAAAATGGAGATCTTAGAGAAAAAAAAATCTGGTGGAGAACCATCTCAACTTTGATAGAAAGGCCTATATTCAAATCCACTGGAAGACATAAAGAAGGAAGCTCATCATCCGCTGGGTGCAAACTAGGTCCCCTCAAATCAGCCAAGCAACATTTTGGCTCGACCAAGGGCATAGCACAAGGTCGACCTCACGTTCGGAAGCTCAGCTTCTTAGCTAGAGCGAGGCACCGAGCGGCCTGGAAGAAATTTTTGACAAAACAATTGGAGCAACCTCCTTCTAAAGTCAGAATAAACCACACCCTAAAATTGTTCACTAATGCAATTTATTGATGACTAACCTGCAAAAGAAAAATGCATTTCAAGGAGATATTCTGAGGACCTTCCCCTTTTAAGAGGCTATGTCAGCCAGTCTAGACAACAAAGAAGGTCAAAATTTGAAAAATGTTGGATGGAATTCAAGACTTGAAAAAGAACCTGTCTTCACTATATCTCAAGGTTAAATTGCTCAGATGAGCATATCGACTATAGGGAACCATTTCCAACCTCATTTTCCCGTACACTCCGACGAGGAGACGAATGTCAAGTGGTATAGCTTGGCATAAACTATAGCTCGACAATATAGTTGTTAGATATAATATATTTTGATGATGTTTAATTTAATGTTTTGATTTATCTTAGAAATGATTATTTCAGTAAATCATTATTGAAAACATGCCAATTGATTTATCCATCTCAACTCTATCAGGTTATTTAAAGATCAAAATAGAGTTCAAAATATAATGATCCTTGATGAATGTTCTTCAAATATTTTGATTTATATAAAAGAGTTAAATCGATTAAAATCTTAAAAATTAATTCATCATAATTCCATCCATCTTTTTATCTTAATTATGTTATTTTGGAGGTCAAAATGAAACTCAAATTAGGCAAAGAACAAAATAGCAAAAGTAGCAGAAGAACAAAATGGGTCAAACCACCACTGGGTGGTTGACTGAGCGGTCGATGTGCCGAACAACTAGGCGATCGACCGGTGGCTAACAATTTGGCCAGTTCAGCTCCATTTCAATCTAGGTTGCTTCGGTTGTCAAGCAGGCAGTATACTTGACGACTGCAACAATCATTCTTCACGACCGGGATTTGACCGGACGTCTAGGTCGATGACTACCAAGTGCAAAGATTAACTCAGGACATTCAAGTGGACGTCCACTCTACATAGAGTTCTATATATCAGACAACTTCTGAGAGCTAAATAAGAAATGTTTCGCCCATCATTCAACAAGAAAAACACACACAGGCAACAAAGATTCTCTGAGTATTGATTTATATAATCTCTTTCACATCACCATCCCATCACCTCAACGAGAAAAGGAGAATGGGCTCTGTCAGACATAGCAAAGCACTCACCTCTGTTACGTATAGAGTTTTGGGAAGTGAAGAAAATACACACTGAGACAAATAGACACAGAGATCACGAGCTAGAAAAATTCTCAATTTTTCATCAATCTCATCTTTCGTTTTTCTCTAAAGAGTTCTTCATCCATGTTTCATTTTCCCTAAGAAATTATACACCGAGCCTAACCTTAAGCATATACACCTTTGAGAGGATTTACAGAAAAAATATGAGCTTTATCATTTTGTATCATTCAATGAGAGATTTTTCTTTTAGCTTTATTTGAAAGCAAAAACCTTCATTTCAATCTTGTAAAAGTGTAGTACACTCAGTGTTCTTGATTCATTGAGAGTGATTGAGAATCATCTAAGGTTTGCGAGGTTCTGGAGACTTGAATAGCCTATGTATTTCTATGGGGGATTACTCCACTTGTGAAGAGGTTGCTAGAACCCCTATGAAGCTAGAAGAATAGTGAAAAATCTCAAGTGAAGCTTGAGTAGTGGATGTAGGCTTAATCGAAGCTAAACCACTATTAATATGTTTGCCTCCTCTTTCCTAATCTCTTTACTTTCCTACTACTGCTATAGTTATCTGATATTCATGTGCTAGTCATTGGATATATTCATTGTGTTAGTTCATTTGACATACTCTCTGAGTTAGCTATACCTCACTGATATTTTGCTTGATCAATTAACTATTAGTCATTTACTTAATCTACCCATAATCAGTTAATAATTTGCTATGCTACTTGTTATTTTTATTTGTGTTATTATTAATTTTTATTTATAGAAATCTAATTCACCCCCCTTTTGGATTGCCTTTTGGGTAATAATTGGTATCAACGCTTGGGCCCTTTCTTAGATTTAACCATCTTAGAGTTTTCGATCCATGGCAACTATATCTAGTAGTAGCACTGTTGAATGTCAAGCCACCAATAGGCCACCCTTATTTGATGACAATAACTATAGTCATTGGAAAGATAAGTTGACCCTATATCTTCAAGCCACAGATTATGCAATGTGCATTATTATCACTAAAGGTTCTAAAATCCTTACCAAATTAGTAGACAACATAAGTGTAACTAAAACTAAATAAGAATGTAATGAAAGGGATCATAGATTGTTGCAAGCCAATGCTAAGGCCAAACTCACCCTTGTATGTAGTTTAGACTCTAAGAAGTATAACAAAATATCTAGCTGTGACTCAGTCAACGAAATTTGGAACAAACTTGAAGTTACTTATGAAGGAACCAACCAAGTAAAAGAATCTTGTATTAATATTCTTGTTCATAGTTATGAATTATTCAAAATGAAATCTAATTAATCTATTTCAAACTTGTTTACTAGATTTACTAAAATTGTAAATTCTTTGAAATCGCTTGGTAAAAGTTACACTAACAATGAGTTGGTGAGAGAAATTCTTAAGTGTGTACCAAAGAATTGGGAAGTAAAGGTCACTGCCATTATAGAAGCAAAGAACCTCACTACTCTTGGATTAGATGAGCTCATGGGTTTTCTTATGACTCGTGAAATCATTATGAAAGGATATGAGAATGATGAGGATAAAAAGAAGAATGGAATTGCATTCAAAGCCTCATCTCATGAAGAAGAAGATACAAACTCTAGTGAGGATGATGAGTTTTCTATGTTTGCTAGAAAGTTCAAGAGGCTTTTCAAAAAGAACAACCATGGAAAAAGAAGACCATTCAAGATAGACTTTAACATAGAGGATATCCCAAAGAAAGAACCCATTATTTGTTATGAATTCCAGCATTTTGGACATATCAAAGTTGATTGTCCAAAATTGAAGAAACATGAAAAAGACCACAAAATGAACAAGAAGGCCATGATAGCAGCTTGGGGACAAAGTGATGATAGCTCTAGCGATGAAGCTGAAAATGATGAAGTAGCCAACCTTTGTCTAATGGCTCTTGGAGATGAAGAAACCACTCAAAATAAGGTAACTTTTGACTATGAAGAACTTGAAAGTGCTTTCAAAGAGCTGCATGATGAGTTTAGAAAAGTATGTGCCAAAAATAATGTGGTAAAGAAATTAGCCACCTCTTTATCTAATAATGTGGATGAATTAAAGAAAGAGAACATTGTCCTAAAAAATGATTTTATCAATGTCACTAATGAGAAAAATGTTTTGAAAAGCAGTGTTGATGATTTGAACAAAACTCTTGGAAATTTTGTAAAATGAAGAGAAAACCTCAACAAGCTTTTTGGAAACCAAAGATGTATTTTTGATAAAGCGGGCATTGGGTATGATCCAATTGAGAAACAAAAGAAACTCAACTATTTTTGAAAAGCGCCTCCTATGACACACCCTCATATTACTTGTCATTATTATAGGAAGAAAAGCCATTATATTTCTGCTTGTCCGTTCAATAAAAATATGATCATAAGAATTAAAAAGATTTGGATTGTAAAATGAACTAACAATACTAACCATGAAGGACCCAAGAAATCATGGGTACCAAAATCCAATATTTGATTCTCTTATTGTAAGTATGTCTTAAGTCCAAAGCTAAAGAAAGAATATGGTACCTTGATAATGGATGCACTAGACACATGATCAGAGACAAATTATTCTTCACTACTATATTTTCCAAAGATGGAGGATTTGTCACTTTCGGAGACAACAAGAAAGGAAAAATCATTAGCATTGATTACATCGGTATCTCTCCTAACCCTACCATTGAAAATGTTCTTCTTGTAGATGGACTTAAGCATGATTTACTTGGCATTAGTTAATTATGTAACAAGGGTAATCGAGTTATTTTTGATAAATCACATTGCACAATTGGAAGGACAATTGATCACAAAGCACTATTTATTGGTAATCACCTTGGTAATGTTTATATTTTTCATTTCAATGATCTTTATGCTAGTGATGTTAAATGCTTTTCTGTTACTAATGAAAGTAGTTGGTTATGGCATAGAAGGCTTGGTCATGCTCACATGGATTTAATTGCTAAACTTTTGAGAAAGGATTTGGTCATTGGTCTTAAATTAAATTTGAAAAGGATCTGCTTTGTGGAGCTTGTCAACAAGGAAAACAAACTAAAACCTCTTTTAAACCAAAGTCTCATATTTTCACTACTAGACCTTTACAATTATTTCATATAAATTTATTTGGTTCCACAAAGACATCTAGTCTTGGTGGAAAACATTATTGTCTTGTAGTTGTTGATGATTTTTCAAGATTTACTTGTGTTATGTTTTTAGCACACAAAGATGAAACATTTTCTTCTTTCACAAAACTATGTTGCAAAATTCAAACTGAAAAACGTTTTCTTATCAGTGATATTCAAACTGATCATGGTAGAGAACTTGAAAATGAAAATGTTGAATTATTTTGTGATGAACATGGTAGTGGGCATAATTTTTCAGTAACTACAACCCTTCATCAAAATGATATTGTAGAAAGAAAGAATAGAACCATAGAAGAAATAAGTAGAACAATGCTTTGGAAAAATAACCTTCCTAAATGGTAGAAAGCCAAATGTTAGTCACTTGCATGTATTTGGTTGTAGATGTTTTGTACATAACAATGGTAAGGACAACTTGGGTAAGTTTGATTCAAAATCCTATGAAACAATTTTTCCTGGTTATTCTTTAACTAGTAAAACTTATCACGTTTTTAATAAAAGAACTCTTGCTATTGAAGAATCTATTCATGTGGCATTTGATGAATCTAACATTTCTTCTCCAAAGAGAGTTGATTGTGATGACTTTGTAGAATTGGAAACGAACTTAGAAGATTAAAACATCTACAAAGAAAAAGATCAACCATGTGAAGTGATCAAAGAAGATGAACAACCTGTTCTCCCTTCTCAAGAAGAAGGTGGAAACGACGATGATTTGCCAAGAGAATGGAAATTTATTTGTAATCACCCTAAGGATTTAATTTTAGATGACCCCATCGAAGGTGTTGCTACTCACTTTTCTTTTAGAAATATTTGTGGTAACGTAGCTTTTCTCTCACAGATTGAGCTAAGGAATTTTCATGAAGCCGAATTCGATGAACATTGGATGATGGCTATGCATGAGGAGCTCAACCAATTTGAGAGAAGCAAAGTATGAAATCTAGTACCAAGACGTAACAATCACTCCACATAACTTGAGAGCATATAAAATTTTCATTCATAAACTGGGCGCTGGCAGCGGACACTTTACATATGAAAATCCAAAAAATATACATTGAATATACTTAATAAAACTAGAATGTCTCCCAGATCAACCCTCGAGATCAGACTCAAGTGGCTCAACGTGCACTTGCTCGTATGGAATTGGCATGGCCGATGTAGCTCCAACGGTAGCAAGGGCTTTGAGCCACCCATGTTTGAATCCCCGATTTTCGAATTTGGGAACTTCGTCTACGTATTCCTTGAAGGCAGCGCTCTTCCCAGCCTCAAGCGCCATAGAAACTTCAGATTTGGCTTTTTCCTTGGCTGCCTTCAACTCCTTTAACTCAGCCTCTACCTTGGCAAGCGCCTTCTTGGCTAACTCGAGCGATTCCTCACTCGCGTTCGCCCTATCCTCAGCTTCGGATCTGAGCTGGTCAGCAGTCTGAGCCCTTTCCATTTCTGCTTCGGCTCGCGCATTTTCCATAGCGGCCCTCATCGCCTCGAACTCGGCCCTGCTCCTTTCACCTTCAGCTTCAGACTTTAAGCGGCCAATTCTTTCGGTGGCATCATGCTACCGGCGGCCTAGTTCGACTATCCTTCCAACCGTCTACAAAACAAATCGGGATCATCACATCACGCAATATAGTGCGCAAACCAAATCAAACGAGCAGAAAAGAGAATATCGTATACATACCAGAAGGGCAGACTGGGCAGCGAACGCTATAAGCTCCAAATCTGGCTCTTCTTGAAAGGTGGCCTTATCACCCGACAGTGAAACTAAGGCGGCCAAGCTCAACCCTATGGCCGGATCCTTTATGACGGATGCATCATTAGAGATTGGCATGTTTTTTATCTTTGGTTGAACAACAAAAGGAACAACCACGTCGGATTCCTCTAAACGAGGCCTTTTGCCAACAAGATTATCCTCCGAGCCTGCGTCTCCCTCGGCATTACGTTTTTCGTCCCGTTTTTTACGAACCAGTCATTCTTCCGTGACCTGTTGTTCGGCCTCCCTCTCCGTCTCATCCAAAATGATTTGAGCCGTTTCTTTCGCAGTAACGGGTTGTAAAGATTCAACCGGGGCAGGCTCAAAAGAGCGGCCTCTGCCTTCTTTCGAGCAGCCATTCGCTCGGCATTTCTCTTTCTTGCCATCTGCGTGAGATTTTCCCCAGCCATGCCTTCAGAAAAATCGTCGGGCAGGTCCCCAAAATCTGTAAAAATGTCTTCGAAAGAAAACACTACACGACCCGAAATGGACGGTGAGTTAGGCTGGTTAAGACCGACAGTTTCCAACGCTGATTTCAGAGCTTCGTCAACCTCTTCGACCTCAGTAATGAACTCCCTGGTTGATTCGGCGACCACCTCGACTTCCGACTCTAAGCCTTGCTCCAAATCGAAAGTCTAGAGACCAATCTATCTCAGGGACTTGAAGCTGGGGAAGATAAGAGCCGTATGGTGTTGTTCGCAGGTTGGGATCGGAATGTTGTCTGCGGCCGAGAACGTAGTATAGGTAGGCTCGTACCTCAGAAGAATATGGGCAACTCTGCCTTGTTTCTGTATGTTTGGACGGCCAAAATACTTTAACGTAGTCTTAATGTCCAAAAGTACTGCGTTGTCAACCGAGGTCAGAACCCTCTTTAACTTATTGCTTGCAAAAACGGAGGATTATATTTGGAGAAGAAGCTGAATAAAAGAAAGTTCAACAAACAAGGAATCACACAGCAACTTGGTTCACCCCTCCATCTGGAAATAGGGTCTAGGCGATCTTCGCCTTCGCCGAATTCCCAGTTGCCCCGAACATTGACCATTACATCATCAACTCGTTTGCTAGAGCTGACAAGCATGGTTACCAAGTGATGGTCGATGTCCCTGGCTTTGAGAAAGTAACGCCCGAGCCGACCGGAGGATTTGGCTAAAGCGTAGCAATGCCGAATCGTAGGAATGCCCAGGTTGATCCTGAGGCGCCGGTTCAATTCAACAATTCCCATTGCGATTCGAAAGAAATTCACATTGAGTTGCGAGGGAATCAGATCCCAGTGGCGGAGAACGGCCCTAAGAAATGGATGTAGGGGAAAGCGAACGCCACCCTCCACAATGGACAGGAGAGGGAACACGATTGTATTTGGGTCATCCTTCTCCATATCCAGGGAACTCTCCGTTACTAGAGATAGATGAACATCATCAAGAATAGAGAAATGTTTTCGGAACCCAGAAATTTGACCCTCAGAGAGGTCTTTCAAATGCTTAGCCATTCTAGAGAGAACTCAGGGATATTCTAAAGGAAAAAATAAATATGGAAAGTAGGATTGCAAAGAAAAGAGAAGAAGACTTACGAGAGGCAAAGGGAATGAGAAGAAGACGGAGAGGAGTTGCAGAAAATACGTTGGAGAAGAAATACAGATAGGCGGTCCAAAAGGTTCAAATATTCGAAAAAGTATGTGTTTGAAAGGACTTAAACTTCAAATCATAATAAATGCGAGAGAAGCACGAATGAGGCGAGAAGGCGTTACAGTGACCAAAAAGCATGTACGCATCCTGACATGCATCGGGAAGAGGATTAACCACCGAATTTCTGTTTTCCCAAATCAGGAACCAAGCACACCGACTAACTGATGCTAGAAGGGTGTTTGGGGGGCAATTGTGGGAGCCGAATTTTAAAGGAGGCATATTTTAACAGACAGGTATTACCCGGCTCTGTCCAGAACCATCAAGATGCCGAATATAAAGGGTAGATAGGCCGAATAGGTACTGAGCTATGGAGCCGAGTAAATATGAACATAATGAGCGAAAAGTGGACCTGGCCCCGAGGCCCACGGAACGAGTATAAATAAAGGGATAGCAGACTGAGAAAGGTATGTGATAATTGTGGTGTTTAACTTAGAATACAAGTAATCTAGAACGAGAGACTGAATTGTCTGTCGGAGTGCTAATTCTGGCACCCCTGACCGGAGTGTTTACTTCCTTTCAGGTGCCTATCGGTGGATCACGAGCGTCCCCCAGGATCAGAAGAGTATTTCCTAAAACCACCTCCCCACACTCACTATTATCTTGGTTTAGCAAAAAGCAAGAC